CCCCCCCCCCGCGTCCCGATATTTGTCTTGGGTGATCTGGTCACCCTAGTACTGCCTGACTCCTTGCACTGTTTTCAGCTGGGGCTCTTCCTCCTCATAGTTCAATGGAAGATGAAGGGGACCTCCAATGAGTCCATTCAGCCTCTCATATTTCGGTGTAGGGCTCTCCCACCCACCTTTATAGGAATCCATTCTATGTTAGTCATAGAGACAAGGAGGAAGCCTCGGGAGGTCACCACAGATGGTGGGAACAATCCTGGATGCCACCTCCTCTCCCATATGGAGCCCCACAATGGCCATACTGGGATCCCTGGGCTGCCTGCAAACAGAAATTTTCTGGGGCTCTGCACCTAGCCCACCGGGATGATAGGGAAACACAATCTTTACCACCTCAAACCATTCCCTTGCAGGAAAAGACGGAACACAAAGCTAGGACAGATAGGAGACCACCCCTCAAACTACCATTTCCTTGTACATAAGAACGGCCATACTGGGTCAGACCAAAGGTCCATCTAGCCCAGTATCCTGTCTTCCAACAGTGGCCAATGCCAGCTGCCCCAGAGGGAATGAACAGAACAGGTAATCATCAAGTGATCCATCCCCTGTCACCCATTCCCAGCTTCTGGCAAACAGAGGTTAGGGAAGTCATCCCTGTCCAACCTGGCTAATAGCCATTAATGGACCTATCATCCATGAACGTATTTAGTTCTTTTTTGAACACTGTTATAGTCTTGGCCTTCACAACATTCTCTGGCAAGGGGTTCCACCGGTTGACTGTGCATTGTGTGAAGAAATATTTCCTTTTGTTTATTTTGAACCTGCTGCTTATTAATTTCATTTAGTGACGCCTAGTTCTTGTATAATGAGAAGAGTAAATAACACTTCCTTATTTATTTTCTCCATGACAGTCAGAGTTTTATAGATCTCTATCTTATCCCCCTTTAGTCTTCTCTTTTCCAAGCTGAAAAGTCCCAGTCTTATTAATCTCTTCTCACATGGAAGCTGTCCCATAATCCTAATTATTTTTGTTGTCCTTTTTCTGAATCTTTTCCAATTCCAATATATCTTTTTTGAGATGGGGCAGCCACAACCACATCTGCAATATTCAAGATGTGGGCGTACCATGGATTTGTGTAGAGACAATATGATATTTTCTGTCTTATTATCAATCCCTTTCTTAATGATTACCAACATTCTGTTCGCTTTTTTGACTGCTGCTGCACATTGAGTGGATGTTTTCAGAGACCTATCCACAATGATGCAAAAATCTCTTTCTTGAGTGGTTGCAGCTAATTTAGACCCCATCATTTTATATGTATAGTTGGGATTATGTTTTCCAATGTGCATTACTTTGCATTTATCAACACTGAATTTCATCTGCCATTTTGTTGCCCAGTCACCCAGTTTTGTGAGATCCTTTTGTAAGTCTTCGCGGTCTGCTTTGGACTTAACTATCTTGAGTAGTTTTGTATCATTGGCAAATTTTGCCACCTCACTGTTTACCCCTTTTTCCAGATCATTTATGAATATGTTGAATAGTACTGGCCCCAGTACAGACCCCTGGGGACACCACTATTTACCTCTCTCCATTCTGAAAACTGACCATTTATTCCTGCCCTTTGTTGCCTATCTTTTAACAAGTACTCACCAGATGAAGTGGTAATACCCTCTCCTCCATCAATGGCTGATGAATTTAGACATTCCAAGATGTCATTTAGATGAGTGACAAACTCCCTTCAGATCCTGCTAGTCTGATTTTATTTTTGATAACATCTTCACAATTCCCGTTCTTCAATACTGGTCCTCCAAGGTACACAATTTTTTCCCATGTGTTCTGGTTTTTTGTCTCTGAGTTTGATCTTTAGTTCTTTCTCTTGTCTTCCAGTTGCCATAATTTTTCTTT